TCATCTCTCTCATTTTCCTTAAAAAAAATAGAGATATCGATATGTCCTGTACAGGCGTATCAACAGCTATCATATCTCTTATAAATCTATCCAGGGAGCTCAGAACTTTTTATTACATCTACTGTATAACTTTAAAAATATTTTAAATGCAAATATTCTCTCTTCTTCTCTTTCCATAAACTTACTCCGAAACATGCAACAGGCAAGCAGTCATTCACCTATATGTCTGTAACGGCCTTTATTCATTAATAAAAAGCGTACATAAATATTCAATCTGCAATTACTTTTATGTCAGTATAAAATTGATATTCCAAAATAAAAAAACGCATTGAATTCTTTATATTGCATGTCTCGATGTAACTGTATGGGACGGTTTAAGTCGCTTGTGGGTTTTTATGACCCGCGAAGGAATGCATTTTGTGAGTCTACAAGATCCGTTACAATCTTTCCTTGAAGGACGATGCGTGATTCATATCGAATTAACCTAATTTTATAAACGTGTATTTCCCGAACATTTTATTGCTTATTTTTTTCTGCACGAGGAACGTCAGACAAATTCAAAATCAGATTTTATTATTTGTTATAGTTGTTTATACAGACATGAAGATGATAATGATCAAAAAACAATATGATTTGAACAGTGGTAGAGCCCGCTTTAACATCTTCGCACAAATCGGCCCGGCTTGCCCGGTGAAATACCACGACCACACAGAAGACAGGCGTGAAGTGGAAGCAATTCCGCATACAGTCTGATGAGTATGCGTCCCGGAGGCCAAAATTAGTCCTTTTTCCCTTCCCACCCTTTTTCTTATAAGGAAAGGATGGTAAGTGGAAGTGGACTTTCCGGATGAGAGGATGCATGGAAATATTTTCTTTCTGTGCTTCCTCTCCTCCGTCGATTAAAGGTAGGCAACGCATATGCAATTGTGTATGTCTATGGGCAACGGTCACTTCGCTATTTCAGCGATTTCAGTTGGCCGCTCGCTCGTTTGCCACCTTATAATATAAAAAAAAACAAGAATAAATGATTGATATATTTTAATATATTTCCAGATACAGAGTATATAGTGAGGGAACATCACAAGGATTTTAGAAAATATGACGCCACAACTGATACTTTTGTGACTATATTAAATGAAAGTGACTGGGTAAGTATTATATATATTTTTTTATCTACTATTGTTCATATAATTGCAATAGTTACTATAGTTACTTAACTAAAATAAGAGTTACTGAATGTTACTAATAGTAATATATCTTAAGAATTTTCTAAGAACTTGATCGAGAATGACTTTGCTTAATAATTATGACTTACTTTTTTATATATATATTAGGTATTAACTCATTAAACTGTTTTTTTCGTAAGTTACATTCGTAATAATCGGTCTGATCTTAATGGATTTTTACCAATTGGATTATAACCAAAATTCGTTATACTCTGACTAGACATTTCTTGAAAATATTCAGCCAAAAGTTTGGTGGAGACAATTTTTTTCAAATTGCTACAGCAAATATTATAAATGTATAATTTTTATTTACTTTTTATCACGTAAATTATTGAAATATCCGTGTGTGTTATTATGATGCTGAACATTAAAACAATGTGTTGTGAGAGTAATTCGTGATGAGGCGAGAAGCTGATAATAATTCAGAAATCTTCCCACAATGTAATCCTCAGTCATTCACTACAATTCAAATTGAATACCTTTTGTTCGCAGATCAATTTGAACCATTATGCTGTGTCGTCGTATTCAAAAGACCTAAAATATTTTTTGCTGGCTGCTAACATGACTAAGGTACGTAATGGTTCTGCCCCATACATTTTAATCCTGCTGAATTTGCTGGAAGATAAATGAACACTTAGTTCCTTGTTAAATTTAAATTTGTATTGAAATATGTACAGTTGAGGAAAATTATTTCCTTACCATTTTAGTTAGAAATGTTATTTGACGTTTACAATGTAATTAGATCAAAACTTATGCATACAAGCCAAATCAAGCTCTCATGGTGACAGTTTGATATGTGATATTCGATCGTAATTGGGAAACAAATTTAATTCTTTGACGTAACATTTAAATGGTCCAAAGTCAAACTTTAATGTACTTTTCCAAAAAATTAATCGACATCACAGGGGACCGAAGAGCTGGCAGCTACCTCGGTCAAAGAATTAGTTTAGCTGTACAGAGGGGGAACGCTGCCAGTATCTTCGGGACCTTGCCTAAAGGGACTCCTTTTAATAACATATTTTAGTTAATTATTCGTTTTTTTTTTAAATTTTATTTTATATCATAGATTTAAGACTTTATGTAATCATAGAAATAAGGATGTAAATTATTAAACGTATGTACTAAAGGACGCAAAGTTTGCTTCAATGTAATTTTATATTTTAGGTATGATTTT